ATACATTTATACAATAACCAAGTCCATTATGTTACTTGAAAAACTAGCTAAACGGATCTAATATATGGTTGTAAGTCTGGTCTGCTCTAAAACATATTTCACATTTTCTTAATAAACTTTACACACAATAAACAAACTAGAAAAACGGTTCCTGAGCATAAACAAAGTCTCAAAAGTTACTACATGCTTACTACGCACGAGTCCATGTTACAAGGGTGGCGCCGCCATTACAAAACCACATGTCCCCTCCTAGTGAACTGCTAAACTCTAAAACAGTGGTCTAACGTGGTGTAAACCTCTAAACACACACTGACAAAATGGAAATCTACTACCAAAACAATATACAGTCATCTTGTATGTACTTTTCAATGTGTTTTACATTATATTACCTGAATAAACAGGACAAATGAAAGAGACGACAGCGTGAGCATCCGTTCAGTGCAGCCTCGCTTCATGTTATAAAATGGAGCGGACCAAAGACTCTCCAAGATGGGCCCTGGTGGAAAGTCCCGCTACTACTCACGACACTGCCCCCTGGTGGCGCACCCGCAAATGTGAAAATTACTTCTAAACAAACAAAAACACATTATTACACTAATAAAGGAGCTAATTTTGAGTTAAGATAAAGGATATCTTAAACTAAAACACCATAAAATGTGACTGCACATTTTGTGTGCGTCACAATAGTTAAGTGCACTTCATGTGCCAAACCAAAGTAACTTCAAAGTATTGCAGAAGTAGTGTTGAGTGCCCTGGGACTACAGATGAAAATCACTGCGTGTGACGTCATTCAGGAGGCAGTTGCTAAAATTCAGTCACAGCATTCTGAAGCATTGATGATAGTATCAGGGGACATCAACCATGTCTATTTGAGCTTGCACTTGGCTGGCTTTACACAATATGAAGATTTTCTTACAAGACACCACTACATCTTAGATCTTTGCTTCGTGAATGTGAAGAATGCCTATAGTGTAGTGGCAATGCCCCCCCTCGGCAAGTCTGATCACAATCTGATTCGTCTAAAGCCCATATATAGGCCAAATGTGATGAGAATGCCCATAGTCCGTAGATCTCTCAGGTAATGGATAAGAGAGGCCAGTGCTCTGAGGGAGTGCCTTGAGTCTACCGACTGGAATATACTGGGCTTAGGGGAGGACACTAACAAAGATGTGGACCAATGTCGTTGTGCCAAAGAAAACAGTCCACTGTTTTTTTTCCAAACAAAAAACCTTGGATCACAAGTGACAATAAACACCCTTTGAACCTAAAGAACCCGGCTTTTAAGGCAGGTGACAGGAACCAGGTAAGAACTGTTCCACACAACCTGAAGAACACATTGAGACAGGCAAGGAGGGAGTACAAGAATGGTCTGGAGGAGAAACTGTGTGGTATGGCATGAGGGCCATTACTGGATACAAAGTGAAGGGCAGTTTAACTACTTTTACAACCGGTTCGACTCTTCCCCTGTCCACGCTGATTCTGCTGTGACCTGCCCTGCTCCTCCTGGCGGCTACACCACCTCTGCTGTGACCTGTCCTGCTCCTCCCGGCGGCTACACCACCTCTGCTGTGACTGAAAGAATGTGCAGCGAGTGAGCTGAGCCTCTCCATACCATCTTCAACAAGAGTCCTGCCAGTGAGCCCGTTGCCACAGATAAGTGCGTTGCCATCCTATCTATAAACTGATACATGCAGAGTACAGGGCAGTGGCTGAGACAGTTTATGCAGAGGCACAAAACTAACAACAAAATAAATTGCTTTGCCATATGTGAATGAGGCAAATCAAATAGCCACGCGTAATTACGCAGCACAGAACTGCCACAGATTTACAAAGCAATAGATGGGTCACACATCCCTGTTGCGTAAGTTACTAAGTAGGTAAAGTGTATTTGTATAGCGCCTTTCACAGTCCAGGATCACAAAGCACTTCACATTCAAAAAACATACGGATGAAAATAATACACATACAAGTCAGATTTTAAAATGAAGAAACAGAAGAGGGTCCTCATCATGAGCTGTGATTTATGATGAATGTACATGTTTCCATTAGATATTTTCTGATATATATTTTCTAACTCAAATTTCAAAATGTGAAGCTCGATGAAAATGCAGCTTATATTTTTGCCAGAGTGGGAAAATTATTATTTCAATTATTGTTCAAATCTTGAATTTCATGCGTGTTTTGGCGTATTGTGATGAAGGTTGAGATGGGTGTAAACATTTACACCACCTCCAGACTTGACGTATATTCTGTGCGTTCCGTAGGCCAGATCTGGCCAGTCCAGATTGATAAAGGCCAAAAAGTGTACATTTTTTGTGTACGCCTCATTTACACCCTGATTTGGCCATACGTAAGTTTCATAAATGAGAGCCTTACTGAATGAGAAACTGCAGAATATTGGAGTTGATCATCTTTACCAACAGTATGTCGGGTGATTCTCAATGCATCCAAGACCAAGGAGATGATCATTGACTTTCACAGGAGCCCTTCCCATCAACAGTCACAGTAAATGGACAGGACATTGAAGTGGTTCAGTCCTATAAATACCTGGAAGTCCACCTGGACCACAGACTGGACTGGTCAGCTCCGGCCAATGCTATCTATAAGAAAGCTCAGAGAAGACTGAGGTCCTTTGATGTGAACAGTGTTAATTTTGACAAATTCTAATTTTGTTTTAGTCCTAGTCTTTTGACTAAAATTTGTGTTTTGTTTTACTCTCAATTTTAGACATCTGATTTAATTTAGTTTTTGTCCAATTTTAGTCGACAAAAATATGAACCAATTTTAGTCGACTAAAAATTACTTTTTTCCTAAACATGTATTATTGCTTGTAGCATGCGATGACAAATATGACACAAAATATGACTTTACTTTACTTTGGAGTAATCTTGTTTTTATACAATATCATTGTAAATAACTGTAGATGTCTCAGAGGCGCCATTTATTGTATGCACGGAATGTTTTTTGTCCACATGATGGCGATAGAGAATATTAATCACCGCAAAAGGCTTCCAAACCATGCTAATGCTGCGATGCCTCTTGGAGCTTCATATTGCCATCTCTTATTTTCTTTGTCAAACGTAGAAAGGCCCCACAGTTATCTTTCTGACAGTTTCTCCCAGTCGTGGACATGTTCTTGTTCTTTTCATCACTCATGGACAGTCGTGGACAGGCTTACATGAGTAATGAGTATGGATCTATCATGATAATACAGTACTGAGTGGTGTTGTGGTTAGCGTTAGCAATAGCTTCTGTACACACCCCACGCCACCGGTGCTCACTAAGGCAAGCCCTCATTGGTCCTCCTCGCATTACTCTGGCCAGTCGATTGGTTGTTTTCTCTTTTGCTCTTATCCATCCGCTCTTCTGATTTGATTTTGTCATGATTCATTTTTCACCTTGTCATTTATTCATGGACGAAAATGTCAATCAATTTAGTCATCGTCTACGTGTCAATGAATTACTTCTATTTTAGTTGTGATTTCGATTTCGTTCCGAAAAAATATATTCAGGACGAAAATTATGACGATAATATATCGTCAACGAAATTAGCACTGGATGTGAGCAGTCAAATGTTGCACATATTTTAACAGTTTTTTATTTTATTAAAGGGATTCCTTAAGCTATACTTACTTTCTCTCTTGTGAAACATGTTTGGAGTGTTATGTGGTAATTGAAGGGAACTTGCTTTGTACATGATATGCAAAGTTTTAAATTTAACTATATCACCCCATACTTAAGCTCCATTGCTCAAGTATGGTAGAATGAAAGCACAATAGAGCGGAGGGATATGTAGTCCACAACATGTCTTGCTTTGTACAGAACAGTAATGAGAAATGTGGACAACGCACGGACCTCTCGGCACGCACGGACTTGGCGGGAAAGTCAAAGGGGAGGAGCAGGAGCAAAAATCGACGCCCACAGGAGATGGATTCTGCTCATCCTTTCCTTGGGACGTTCGTGCGACAACTAATCAAAGAGCCGCAAAGTGGTCACGGGGACATTAGCGGACTGAGCGAGCAGACTGAAAATACCCATAAACAGCCAAAACAGGATCCACACCAGACTTCACCAGAACTCAAACCAGGGTTGACAATGGGGGACTGTGTGCTCCCGTGACCTTATGCAACTGCTTCGAGTGTGTTCGCCGATCCGGAAATACCGTTTAATAATATGAAAACACGTATGGCGCACCTCCGTGAACACATACTGCTGTTATATAAAGCCCATGGAAAGTCTCTGTTCAAAGACACACTGCAAAGCTGCATATTGGAGAAGATCTGTACACAAGAAGCCGCTAGCATAGCTCTGTTAGCATCAGAGCCGGCCGGCTACTTCCGGTACTTCCGGCTCGCGTCAGGACGTTCTGGTGTGAAGTCCTCTGCGTCTGGAAACTAGAGAATGCGCGTCTGGTGAGCGGGGCTTCAGCGTTTGAGCGTTTGCGGTCTGAATGCACCATAATGCAGGGCATCTTGGGTAACTCCAGACACCCTCTGCATGACACTATGGCCGCTCAGAGGAGTAATCAAAGCAACAAGCTCCTATCAGAACGCTGCCGAACGGAACGTTTCAAGAGAGGCTGTCAGACTGTAGAACAAACCTGGATGAGTCTTCTGCTGCTGGACACCGGAATTTCTCATATGGGGATCAATAAAGTTTCTATCTATTTATCTATATGCAATCAAACATTCACGATAGTCCTGAACGACCTGACACTTTTTTTTAAACTCAATAATTCCTCAAACATTATTATCGCAGGAGACTTCAACTCAGTACTAAACCTTAACCCTGACTGCTCACCCACAACAGTGTGAAACAATAGACACAATTCACAGAAACAGTAAAACAATACATGAATGAATTTGGTCTTAGCGATTGTGTAATCCAAACACAAGACAATACACACATCGATTGTGTGTATGTTTTAACATATTTAATAAAAATAAAGTCTTGCACCTTCAATAAGAATGTGATGTATTGATGGTTCTGTGTGTGTGCAGGTGAGCTCTCTGGGTAAGGAGGTGTCCGACCTGGGCCAGCTGATGAGCCGCATGGCCCAGCTAATGGACTCCTTCATGAGCAGCAGCCACACCCCCTCGCTCTGCCCCGCCCACTGCTGCTCTCTGGACCGCCACAGCCGTCCTGCCTGCCATTCGCCTGCTTCCTCTGTCTTGCATCACCACCACACCCTGCCGCACCCAACCTCACTGCTACAGATCCGCCCTCTTACTGATCCTGCCCCCCTCCCCCACAGCCTCATGCCTTTCTCTGAGGCTTCACTCTGGGGCTCGAACCGAAGCGCAACCTTGTAGCACAAATCTCCTCTGGAGATGACCAGAAATATGCAGAACTTTATGATATTTATGGTGTTTAATACAGATGACACAAACAACTATATATTGGACCTTAAAGAAGGCATGTTTTTCAGCATAGTTGAGTCAAATCCGTTTAGTAATGGAGCAGATGCATCTTATATTGATCTATGGTCAGAGTGACTTTGGCTCCTCCTGTTTGCTCAGCATGAGCCTGAGCTCAAATATTTGGGAAAAACCATACACGTGGTGACAAACTACTATTGTAGCCACAGCTGCCCTGGGGCACACTGACAGAAGCAAGGCAACCAGTATGTGCCATTAGCCCCTCTGAGCACCACCAACCATTCACACATATACCATACTCATTCTAAGCAATATAGGTGAGTCAGCTAGCCCACTGAGGCACCTGGTGTTGCCAGAGGCCCATCATAGTACTAACCATGATGTTCTGACATGCACAATTTCAGAGGTCAGATGGGATCTGGCATTCATGTGCAAGTATGTACACATAATAATAACAATAATGGTTTCTTTAACAACACATCTGCACTGAAGCAAAACTCCTTTTGATCAAATGCTTGGGAAAATCAGGGACAGGAACCACGTCTAAAAGTGCACATGTCGTTTTTGTGGTATAACAGGAGGTCAGAACAGCCTTGATCTTGCCCAAGGACATAATAACAGCAGGCATCAGTGGGAGTTGGTCTTGAGGGGGGATTGAACCGGCAACCTTCAAGCCCAAAGGTCTACCAACTGAGCCACTTTCGCCCCCATATCATAGACCCTCCACCATAAAACATCCACTGTGCACTTTTGAACATCGGTCAGGAATGCAGCTCATATATTTATTGATGGATTTTTAAAGCACGTCTCCCAGCCAAGTTGCATGAACTTTTACTGACGGCTTCGGAGTGTTATCTTTACCCTATAGAGGAGTAGTTCTGTAGAGGCCTGGATCAGCCGCTAGAAAGTAGTATCTGCTTTAATCCCTTTAGCCCATGCAATGCTGATGAAGAGGAGGGGACAAGGAGGAGGACGAGGACTGCGTAATCATTGGACAAGATGTTCATGTAGAACCAACACTGCACTGGGAACAGGCCTCTTTCACCATTTCACACCTTTTATTTTGAGCCAATATATTTTTGTTGGAGATTTGGCCGAACAAAACATAAATTAAGTGCATTTACAAAGCCCTAGTGCAGGGGTCGGCAATTCAAAAGGTTCAAAGAGCCATATTTGACAAAATGGAGCCGCAAAAAAATAATAACCTTGTATAGACTTATATGAAGGTAACACAGGCTGCAAGCTGTATTAGCTACATTAGCCTAACATCTAAATGACAAAGTAAAGGCTACAAATACATAATAAGCATTCATGATTATAAAATGTGTATTTTAACTGCAGCGTGTCCTGGAGAGAATGACGCACCACGTGACGACTATGCTTTAAGTTTAACTTCCTTTTTTTTGCCTTCATGCAATTGTAGAAATACAGTAAATAAATCTGCTTTTTGGCTCAGAGTTTGCATACCTGCATCACAACACTGTCTGTTCATATCGATCACATCACAGGCTGAAGTTGGCTGGAGCTGAAAAAATGTCCTTAATGACCCTTTCTTTCACTGTCTTTGCGGACGTTTTTGAAGTCTGAAAATAGGTCCTCTGAATTTGTGATCAATGAATCCTTCAGTGAACGGTGTTTTGCGCTTCATTGTTCCTCGTGTTGCAACAAAACTTCTCATTACAACGCAAACATGAAGCAGTCCTTCCTCATTGACTAAAAAAGGAAATGTTCATTCTTATTCTTAGTCCAGTCTTATTGTCGACTCTTTCTCTTTTTAGCTTTGGGATCCATGCACACACGCCGGTTTGATAATAATTTTAATAATGATACATTGGTTTTGTATAGTGCTTTTCAAAAACTCAAAGAGCTTCACAATTCAGGACCCACACACACACATTTAGACAGACACACAAAACTAAAGATCTACAAGCAGGAAAGAAGAGTACAAAGCTGAAACTAAGAGTCATATGCTTGGAGGAAGAGGTGAGTTTTTAGCTGTTTTTTGAAGGATTTTAGTGAGTACGAGTTTCTGAGATGAGCGGGGAGTGGGTGTAGAGATAGTGAAAACTCGGTCCCCCAAGGTTTGGTGCTTGGATTTGACAGTGGAAGTGAGGAGATGTTAGTCTGCAGATCAGAGTTGACAGGAGGGACTGTAGGGCTGTAGAAGTTCAGGGAGGTAGCCAGTGGAGTTTATGAAGGACAGGGGTGATGAGTTCTTTGGAGCGGGTCTGAGTGATGAGGCGGGCGGCAGATTTTTGAAGTTTTTGGAGATCAGATGAAGGAAGGCTGGATAAAAGAGTGTTGCAGAAGTTGAGTCAGGAGGATATGAAAGCATGGATCAGGGTTTCAGCGGTGGTGGAGGACAGCGGCCGCCTGGCGCAGGGCCACGTCACAGGATATAACACACTATGTTGAAATTTAATAGTATTTATGCACATTTCTACAGCATTTAAAAACGTTAAGAATGTTTTTCCTCCTATAGAAACCACATTCAAACTAGAGTTAAAATATGGCCCTCCCACTCCGTTTTCAGACATTTCTGAAAAGGCTCCAGGAGCCACTCGAGGAGTGGCTCCAGAGCCGCGGGTTGCCGACCCCTGCACTAGTGAATCTGCGTTCCATTTAATGATATAGAACCAGCCTCATGTAGACTTGTGCTTGAGGTAGATTTGAGCTGCTACTGCGTTTATGCCGCATGCAGCCACAGATACTGAATACTACTGAGACAAGGCCAGCAGATGCCTTCAAGAGCGCAAGAAAAAGCCAAGGATGAACGCTCCCTTGGCTTTTTCTTGTATGTATGTATTTGAATGCTCCCTTATTTTGATGATTGTGATATACAGTCTCTGGTGCATTTAATGACTTGTGCTGCTGCCGTTGACCCTGTGTGAATTTCAAATGCTCAAAGTATACTGTGTGATTACATCAGCCAAACGTGTATTATTCAGTATATATGAGAGACAGTATTGCCAATTACTGTTCCACAGTTTTAGTGCTAAGGCAAAGTTAAGAGACGCATTGCAAGGCTCCATCCACTCAGCAAGCGCATGGGGACTAGAACTTATCTTGGTCATGGGGACTAGAACTTATCTTGGTCATGGAGACTGGAACTTCGTGGTCAATAGTCACATAGTTACGTTTCCGCCGCAGGAGTTCCTGGTAAGAGGAGGTGGTGGGACAGCTACAGGAACCGTCCTCTCACTCGGCCCTCTCAGTGGCTGTGGCTGTGTCTGTACTGCAGAGTGGGACCCTCTGCGACGTCATGAGTTTCGAGCGTAATCAATAATCATCTATTTTATGGTCGGGACCGCTCTGGTTGTTGTGGTCTTTGAGTTTTTTATAGTCCTGCTAAGGGATGTACCGAATCCAGATTTTTGGGGTTCTGCCGAATACCGAATCCGAAACCGAATACCGAATCCTACTCCATCCTCTGTCCATTAATGTTTCATACGAAAACATTTTAACAGCGGCGATGTTGTGTACTGTTTAGGGTCCTTGCCACCATGAGACATATCAGCGTTGCAAATTGGACATGTAGCTCGACTAGAATCACCTCCTTTGGACTGAAAGTACTGCTAAACAACACTTTTTCTGCTCACAAGTTCCATTTTCAGTTCCTCACTCACACAGCCTGAGCTACTGTATTCGAGAAAAAATACTTTCAGTAGCCGCAGTGAGTGCCCAGATGCGTTCAAACGCATGAGGAAATGAGGCTAACACATAGACAGTTTAATTCTTGATTGGATTCACTGTCCTTTACTTGTTTAATCATCATACACCTGTTATGTGTATCCCTGTGTTGTATTTCTGAAATAATTATTCGGAATAATAATAATAAGAAAAGTAAACTGTCTATGTGTTTACCATATTTCCGTGTGCCTTTGAACGCATCTGGACGCTAGCTGCCAGCTACTAGACGTGTTTTTTTTCTCTGAGCTTTTTTCCTGCCATTTCTCGTAATAAACCTTGATGCATATGAGCACAAATAAATAATATAATCTGTATATAACAACACAAACTGTTTACATATTTATTTACACTATTTGACATCCGCAAACTAAACTTCCGGACGAATCCGGTTTCCGGGATGAATCCAGCAGCCACACATGGATCTATTAGCAGCCACAGCGCGCATAGTGTAAGCGCAGGGTTTGGTTCGGTCAGAACCTGAACCCCGTCAAAAAAGCCAATATTTGTTGAATCCGAAACCTGGATTCGGTACATCCCTAGTCCTGCTTGGCCTGCATTGGCCCCCGTAAATGTTCCTGTAAATGACCCTGTGGGGGAAGTTCCTGCAGTCGAGGCACACACCAACGGGGCTGGCCCCAGTGTTGCCAACTCCTCAGTAAGGAAAGTAGCTATTGGCTGTCCCAAAAGTCGCTAGAAGTCGCTAAATGACGTCATCGCCTAATTTGCATAATTGGCAATTTGCAAATAACTGTAACGGACGCTGGATAATCACAGACAGAATGTACCCAGATAAAAAAATAGATAAGGGCCATACCATATGGATTTTGGCAAACACTGGATTCAAAATTGCATGCCACATGTGGGGTACACCGAGTAGCCTACTCTTGACTATTCAGCTTTGGCCTAGATCCAGCCCAGCTCGACCCAGACACAGGTGTTGATTTGGCCCACATACTGAATTGGGATCTCCATATGTGTCGTAGCAATGCCACATATGTGAGCCACATGTCTCTTTGCCATGTTGGTTGATATATTGTGTGTGGCTCTAGAAAGAATGTTGTTACTCATATTCTCCTCAAAATAACTTCCTCAGGGGTGGGTAAAATTAGGAATCGTACAACAGGAGATGAAAACGTGGAATTCTGAAAGTATTCAAGAGAAAGTGTGATTTTCCATAGCAATGCTATTTACGATTCATAGTCTATGGCTGTGTGAAAATATCCACACTCATATAGTGCCTACTT